GGCACTTACTCGGGCACCACTTGCTTGATCTGCGGCTTCACGTATCCGTCCACCGCTTTGGCTGCAGGGAAGGAGACGGCGCTAAGGCTGCGGGGGGCCGGGGCCCTGCCTGGCTGGGGCCCCCGGGGCTGCCGGCACAGCCGGCCGGGGGCCGCGGGACGCGTGGGGACGGAGGGCAGCGCTACCTGGCGTGGACTCACAGAGAACCGGCGTGTAGTACTTGGAGAAGACCTCGTCCTTGGGCCGCTCGGGGAACACGTAGATGAGGTAACTGAGGTCCCCGAGGCGGTCGGCCAGGGAGCGGATGGAGAAGTCCCTGGTGGTGAAGGGCATCAGGTTCCAGAACATCCGCTCGGCTGCAAGAGAAGAGCCAAGCCGGCTGTGACCCCTGCAGCGCCTCGAGACACGCAGCGAGGCTGCATTGATCAGAAGCGACCCAAACCTCTGCCTTTTCCATGCTTTTTCCCCCCCTTGCACCATTTCAGGGCCAAACGCATGAGGCAGGAATCACCCCGGCCCACGGTGCGCACTCACGGGAGTCGAACTTCCACGCGATGGTGATGCCGCCGATCTCCGAGTCGCTGAAGCGCAGCAGGAAGGTGCCGTCCGGCTTGTTGATGAGCAGGTCGTGCGCTTGCTGCTTGTTCACGAAGCCCAGGATGGCCCTAGGCGGAGGGAGGGCTCAGCCGGGCGCGCGGGGCCGGCCGCGGCGCAGGGCGCAGGGCGCCTCTTACCCATCGTTCCAGTGCGGCTTCAGGTGCTTCTTCAGCACCTCCATGACCCCATCAAACCACTGCCAGAACGTGTAATTCCTCCCAGGCAGGTTTTCCTGTTGAAATGCCCCCAAAAGAATCATTCCTGAGTGCAGCTGCCCTCCAGATTGCTCCAAGAGTGGAGAGCAGATCCCATTACAGGTGGATGGGGATGGGGGCTGCTGTTTCTGCTTTGCACCGCTGCAAACACCCGCTCCTCCGTCACCGACTCGGCCCCGCGACGGTCCGAGCGCTTGATCCGCTTGAGGGACTGCGGGGACAGGCGGGGTGAGCCGGGGGGACGGGACGCGCGGGACGCGCACCGTGGTGCTGCTGTAGTCCTCCAGGTGGGAGCTGGTGCTGTTGAAGAGCTTCTGCGCCAGGAACACCAGGTTCTCCTTGGTCAGCCCGCGGCTGCTCTGCACCTCCGCCTTGAACTTCATGTTGAGCGCCTCGCAGAGCTGCGGCTGC